TTCATTCAACTCAATCGGGCAACTGCCAGAGCGAAAGAAAACAACAACAACGGTTCATAGCCGATCACTAAAGAGCTCGTAAAGGAGACGACGCAATCGATTGCTCTCTGAGCTTTTGCTTAAAGTGTGAGTGACAGAGACTTATATGCAGACAACGGGAAACGATTAACTGTTATTTGAGAGCTATGAGCTTAAATGATGAATAGACACTGGCTACACTAGAAAGAATAAGGGAAATAATAATAATAATATTTGATAGAGTCGCTGCTCCAAAGAACGAAGCCTTCTATCAAAACTCTTTACTCATAACCTATGCCTATTGTATGTAATTAAAATAGAAATAAAATACATCGTACATATTAAAGCATTTTATAATTAAGCTTAGCTTATATACTTATGCACTCTTTCATTTGCTCTGCTGCTGCCTGGTTGAGTGTGGATTGCTAATGCTGCTGCTGTTCTTAATGAGGCTGTTGGTTGATATTATCCTATTATTGCAGTCCCGTGTCTGTGTGAGTGTGTGTGTGCTTGTGAGTTTGCTTCTCCTCTTTACTCACTGCTCCTCTCTGTCCGTCTGTGTCTGTGTTTATCTCTCGCTCGTTACTCGCCGTCGGCAGCTGACGCCCTCTCGCTCTTTCCTGCCCAGCCTGATCTCTGCTTCGGGCAATCGAAGCTTCAATTGCGCTGTATACATACATACATATATACACATTTAATTAGTGCATAAACTAAGTCTGCATGACGATGGGCATCTAGATTTGAAGGCCAAAGAGTATTATTGTGCTACAAGTATTTAATAGTGTTTGCTATGCCTATGCTATGCCTTTTTTTTAGCAAGCAAATTATGATCAATATTTCCACAAGTTTCATAGATGTACCACCCATCAAGTGTCATATCATTCAGCTTCTGTAATGCAGTCTCATTGCAGTGCCAGAGGTCGAAATCGATAAATAGTTATCGAAGTCGATAAATAGTTATTACTGATGGCTTAATGTGTTGTAGCTTCATAGTATTTAGTATTTGACATTGATGTACCTTACATCGAGTCTCGTAGCATTCAGCTTTTGTCATGCAGAGTCTCGTAGCATTCAGCATTTGTCATGCAGCCACCCTAACTCATATATTTCAAGTTTTGTTTTTGTCACATTCACTAGAAGAGTTGGCCCACAGTTTCAGAGGCATTCATGGGCTATGCTTTTTTACTGAACGAGCAAATTATGATCAACATTTTCACAAGTTTTATTAGGCACCTTCAAGCGAGTCTCGTAGCATTCAGCTTTTGTCATGCAGCTGCCTTAACTCAAATTTCAAGCAAATGTGATAAATATTTCCAAATATTTCAAAGCGGTCGATAAATAGTTATCGAAATCGATAAATAGTTATTGAGACCGATAAAAACTTATCGAAGCCGATAAAAGGTTATCGAGCCCGATAAAAGTTATCGAAACCAAACAAGTTATCGAAATGCTTTATCTAACGTAATGCTTTATGTAATGCCCGGTAATTAATACAAATGATGCTGATGAGTAGGATAATGCGGCAGCGGCATGAGATGAAAACGGACGCCGAAGTCGAAGCCGAAGCCGATGCAGAAGCAGAACATTTGAAGCTGCAAGTTGGCAGTTGAAAGCTGAAAGCCAAAGTTGTAGCGAGGGGGACAGAAAACAAGCAAAGGGAAAGTCAAGCAGAAGCTAAAGGAAATGGCTGCATCGTAGTATGTGTGTGTGGGCGATGGGCTAATGTGGCGATGGGGCGTGGTGGCAGCTGCAATCTCAACTTCGCATGCATGAAAAATGCAGCTCATCTACTTAATGCGCGCGACGTGCCGTGCTGTGTTGTTAGCGAGGAGTGAATAGTGAGTGGGGGAGTGAGCGAGGAGAGAGGGGGAGAGCTGATTCAGGATGAGTTGGGCAACCAGCTTACAAGCAAAATGAATGCTACTCACACCGCCAGCCCCCTCGTCCCCTCCTCCAGCCCAACCCAGCCCAGCCCAGCCCCTGTCTGACTAGCTGTTTGTTTGTTTGCTTGTGCGGATGTGATGCTGAGCATGCTCTTTTAGCTGCCTTGGCAAATTGCCGTCTAGCTGCGATAGTGTATATGTATGTGCATGTGCACGTGTATGTGTGTGCATTAACGCTTTATAAATTGTTAATTATAATGAGTCCGAAGCATGGAGTCCACCAAACAGAGCTGCTTAAGACCAACAATGTCGACATGATTTACATTAGAGCTTAGCAAATTTATGCTGATGCGAGTTATAGAAGAAGGTTATGCTGTGCTATATAAATGTGTGTGAGTATCTATAGCAATATCCATATCTATCTATACATATATATGGTATATATCTATAGATTGGTGCTGGCAGTTTGCCTGCTCGCTCGCTACTGGCGCTAATCCGACTGACATTTTCATTTTACACATGAACAGCAGACGCACACAACGAGAAACTGTCATTGATAAAAATGAAGCACGCGCACGAGCACACACACACGCACGCATACTGGCGCACACAAGCTGCCACGTAGCGTGTCAGACATGGCGTATGTGTAATGTGGGGCCCCTCGCTGCGCCGCACGGCAATGCATAATTAGAATTACAACAATAATAATCATGATTATAATGACAACTTGCCAGGCAAACAGCCCTCAGGCAACAACATTGTCAACATCTGTGTACGTGTGCTGGTGTCTGTCTGCGCGAGTGTGTGTGTCTGTGTGTGTGTGTGCAAATTTATATGCAGCTCAAGCAAAATATAGCTCACAACTAAAAATTTCTGTTCATTTATAATGCAAGGCAAAATGCTGCAGAATTTGCACAATATCTTCAAGTGCACAACACCCACACACACACACACATATATATACTCGCTGCCACGTGCTTAAGAAGATGATGATAGATTTGCTAACAATTGCCAGACTCAGTGAACGGCGCAGCGCATTCAGCTTCATTCGCGCTCGCTCTTATCTCCTATCCTCCTATCTGCTATCTGTGCCAGCGGAACAATAGAAGCCAGCCAAATGGCCGAGCTACACTCAGGCTGACACAAGGATGCTCTACACTTCCATTAAGGATGCTCACAGTCAGGCATTATATGTACCGCAGATTTGTGACATTTACGCACTATTTGGGTGTCATGAATTTAATTAGGCGGAGCTTAAGTTGAATATAATGAAGTCCATAGAATAGTTGACTTAAATGCGCAAATTATGGGATTGGGCATAGAGCAATATAAATCTATTTATACGTAATATAATATTATTAGGCATCTTAATTAAGTGTGTATAATGAGATTATTGGCATAGCTGCTGGGCAATTCTATGAAATAGTATTGATTGTGTTTGATGTAATTTTATGTAAGTCAGGGATTATTTTTATATTCCATATTTAGTTTCTGGTTCAGTTATAAGTCACCTTTTCATTGCAATATATATACTTTATGCTATAAAAGCCTATGAGCAGGTATTATTACCTTAATTTAGATTATTATAATTATTTTCAATATATCAGAAGCTTTTGCTATATTTATTTGTCATATCAATTATTGGTCTACTTTTCGTTTCCTCCTTTTTTTGTATTTCATGTAATTCATTAAATCGTACTTCATTCTCAACAACATTTATAATGACATTGGGAAACACAGTTAAGTGTTTCTAATGAAATACACAATTAAATTAGAGAGTGCTTCACTTTTAATTTGACAACATTCAGTTGACATCATTAGCAACGCCAGCTATGGAATGCTGGATGTGTGACAAAGTCTTTGTTATTAGCATTTTCCTCTTCTGTATTATTAATTTAGTCCAACTCAATTTTAAAGATATAATTTTAGATTTTGCATACCAGACATTACGCTGGCAAGATACATAAATCTTAAAAAAAAAAAAAACTAGCAGGCGTACAATATATCTAAATATATCTAAAAACAAAAAAAAAATAACTTATGATAAAGAACTTAAGTAGGTATTCTAAAAATAGTTTAAAAATTTGTGTAGATAGTCTTCCTGTTAGTCGGAAGATATATATCGATAGGTAAGTCATATCTTAAATATACCAATTCAAAATTAATAGATAGAAATTATGAAATATAACTATATTAAAAATATCAAATCCATATACATATTAAGAGACATGCTTTTAAAAATATGATTGTTTAAAAATATGGGTAAACAATTTAATATTTTTATAAAATAGTATGATTATATATCGATTCGGTCGATACCATAGCGATAGACTGGAACTATCGTAATGATTGTTTACAAATATTTGTAGACACGCTAGTATTTTAAATCGATATTAATATTGGTATTGACATATTGAAGACGTGGCAAACTAATTTTAATAATTTTAATCTATATGCCAAACAAAGAATAGGCTTAGTCTTATAGGCTTACGTTAAAAAAAATCTTAAAGCTTATTTCTAATTCAAGCAAATAATAATAACCTATACTTATCTATTATTTTTCAATAATCATAAGCTAAGCCTTGTAATTCTGGTATATATTTTATTTATAAACCCATTATATATACAAATTCCTTATGCCATAAATAGCTTACGAAAATCCAAATACCTCTAAGCGACTTTCTGGTAGGGTATTAAAAAATTACTTCAACATATTGCCTGACAATGTTGTTGCCGTTTAACTATATCTCTGTCTCCCTCTCTCTCTCTCTCTGTCTCTTTTACTCTCTGTTTCTGTGTTTGGCTACTTTGTGATAAATTTGTAGCCATTTAATGGCTGCAGCAACTCCCACGCGATCAGCTGACAGTCGTCGCAGTCGCTAGATAATTTTTCAAGCACAGCCAGCGGCGTCTTTTCGTGCCCTCCAATTGTGGGGCTATAAGTGCTGCAGATCACAATTTGTGCTTTTTTTCGCTGCTTTGTGCTTCAAAAAGAAAAGGACATCAATCAAAATGCCTGAGGTGGCGGGATTTAACTTTTATAATTTTTATTAATGGCCAAGTATGCGCTTCGATATAAAAAGAAATGCTGTTGAATGCTTATAATTAATTAAGACATATTTATGGCAGAAGACATTGGACAAATTTTGTTGTTGTTGTTGTAGTTTGTTATTGTTGTAGTTGGATATTGCTATTATTGTTGTTGTTGCTGTTGTAGTTGGCACATTTTGTGGGCTCCTTGAGCTGTTTTGCTGGCTGTCAAGCTGGACCGCCTAATTGGGATTCAGCTTGAGTTCAGCGTTGGCCGCATTGAGGCGCGATTTGGTTGGCAAATTGCGCTCCTTCTTCTCCACGAAGATCTGATAGTGGCCCTCGCCATAGCCAAAGCTGTGCATGGTCTTCCTCATGGCATCCGGTATGAGCTTGAATCCGCCGCGTCGCTCCATCACTGGCGAGTCCTGGCAATCCGTTTGGCCGGGCTCGCAGCGGCAGTCGGGCTGCTGGCACGCCTTGTTCTCGATGATGCAGAACAACTGCAGGCACTTGCGCATGATATAAATCATGAGGAATATTATCAAATTGGTGGCAAATAGATGCTTGCGCGGCGCCAGAAACAACATCCTGACTGGTTAGACACTGGGCACTGACTATCACAGCACGTGTGCGGTAATTCTCTCGGTGGCGTTTGCTTTCGGTGTGAGACGGCTGTCCGACGGAGGACCAAACATGGACTGAGTGAAGGATGCAGCCAAGCGCCGGCCTTATATAGGAGCCATGCTCTTACCTACTTAGGTAATTTTCTGAGGGTGGTCAGGCAGGCCAGGCGGACGCATGCAGTCGCCGGGTACAGTCGACGGTACAGGCGTTAGTCCTTCAGATTAGGTCGGTTTGCCTGTCGGACAGAGGGACAGCCAGACAGCTAGACAGCTAACGTCTGCGCTGATGTGTTTATGAGTTTGTGGAAAATATTAACTCAGAAATTGGTTTATCGCACACAGGCAACGGCGCTTCTAGCGAAGTCTCAGCTACAGTTGGCAAACACAAAGCGACGCACTCACACACACACACGCAGACAGCTGAAGGAAAAGTGAATTTCCCGTACGTCTTGATTCCTAAAAAAAATGAAAAAAAAAAAAAAAAACGAGAAGAAAATACTTGCATAAATTCGCAAATTGAATATAAATAAATTTCCTGCAAAGAGGCGAGCGAAGGAAATCAATATCTATGCCGTGCATATGGCACGTGCCACGCCCACTGCATGATAGAGCGCCCAATCTGCAGTCAATTCAATTTGACTTTCAAATGCCATGAATATGCCAAGTGAACCATATATATATAGAGGGAGAGAGAGAAAGAGAAAAAGTCTGTTGGCCATTTAGCAGCTGCTGCTGGGCTCTTGGCTAATCAATGTGGCCAGCGCTCATTAGGACGTCAAAAAGTTGGCCACTCTTTTTGCACCTGTTCGCAAAATGTTAGTTATATATAGTCTCACCTTGCCCTCTCTCACTCGCTCCCTCGCTCACCTCCCGCTCTATCTCTCTCTGTCTGCGAAAAGTTGGAAAAACTTTAAGGCGAAGCTTCGTTCGGGCAGATGCTTTAGCTTGTTTTTCATTTATTTTTATTTGCTTGCTTTCAATTGATTATTTTTTTATTTAATCTATTCTTTATTTGATTTTATTTTTATTTTATTTTTTGCAGCTTGGCCCAAACAATTTGGCTTCATTTATTGACTTAATCATTTGATTGCGTTTTTCTGCATGCGCTGATTGAATTTCTGCGCCAGTTCGTGTTCAGCCCGCGCGAATCAGGCTAATTAGTTTAATTGATAGTTTTGGCCTGGCTGGCAGCGTTCCACTCTCTCTTTTTTTTGGCTTAGACGAAACTTTTGTGTGGCTAACACGAGTATGTGCGGCATTAGAGCCAGCTTAAAGAGCAGCAGGCTTTGCTTTAAGTCGAAGGATTGCAGGGAATCCTGCTAAGCGGATATTGCATTACGAACTGAAGCAGAGAATGAAGGAATTTCTGTTTAAATGGGAGCAGCGCGCTTTATAGCCGCACATAAAGGATATATTTCAATCTACGTTTCGCCACATTTTATTATGATTTTACGATTTTTGTTTTGATACTCGTTAAACTCTTTCAAAAGTGTTTCAAATTGGTTTTGCCACAGGGCTACAATTGAATACTTGCGTGTGTAGAAAGAGAGGGGGAGAGGAGGAGGAAGAGAGAGAGAGAGAAAGACTTGTTGTGGGCAATATTTATGTGCCGCATGTGTTGGCATTTAAGATGAGTTTTTGATGAAAGTAAATATACATATGTGCATACATATATATGTATATGTATATGCGATATATTGGTTTGAATGGCGGCATATAAATCGTGGCCCGGCACACGGCGCACGTGCTGAGCAGTGGGTCTTGAGGAGTCCTCACGTCCTTGCACTTTTTGGCAGCTTTCATAAATATTTATGATACGGCGGCGCTCCATGGCACAGCTGTCCCTCTTTATATCACACACACACACACACGCACAGATATTTATAACGATATATTTGTGTATCTGCGAGACGTAACAACAAAAGAAAGGTGCGTTGCCTTAACCCGCGAGTTGACCCGGGCTTGGCTGGGCCAACTCCAGGCCACGCAGCCCCCCCATAAATTATGCATTAAAAAGTTCAACATTCAACTTGATTTTGATTGTGTTTTCTAGCTTCGTAATTGTGGCAAACGGGCGTGCCGCAGTAAATCTGCAACGGGTTCAGCCTCCATTCCCATCTCTCTGTCTCTATCATTGGCCGAGAGCTCTCTCTCTCTCTCTCTGTCTCTCTCTCTTTCGCGCTGGCTACCTGTCGCCAAAGTTGGCCATTTAAAGCACATTATCCTGCGGAGACGATGGAGCCAAATAAAATTTACTCTCAGCGCGATTTGCATTTATTTCGTTGCCCACTTGGCTGCCAGCAAATTGTGGCCTCTAATTCCATTGAAATTGCGATTTCGCGTTGCCCAAGAAATGTGCAGTGTTTGGGGCCACAACACATAATGCGCCTAAAAACTGTCTGTTTACTTGGCCGAGGCCAGACAGAGAAGGAGTGAGAGAGAGACAGAGAGAGAGAGAGAGAGAGAGGGGGAGACCATTAGGCAACGGTATCTGAAGCGCACTGAGGATGGGCTTTTTGCAACATCAACAACAACAATATCAACAACAACATCAACATCAACAACAACAGCTATAACAACAGCATCTGCATCCATCAGACCAAACAATTTCCGTCAAATTTCCATGCGCTGACAAAAGCTTTTCACTTGAGTGCCACACAAAAGCCGAGAGCAGGGCTAAAGGCAGTAGCCCGAGCAGGCTGGCTGAGAAATGTTTGCATTACGTAGCCAAAAATTAAATGGCTAACAAGTCGCAGCTTCAATGCACTTTCCGAGCCAGCGCAATGTGTGACTAGGCATAAGAATATGAGCTACTTATCGGGAAAATAACTATAAGAATTTAAAGTATGAAAGCTATAACTATAAGAATATGAATAAATAAATATATAATAATAATGAATAAAGCAGTATTTGGTTCTCATTGAATTTAAGTAATACATGGAGAAACATTAAATAAATTCTGAGTTTAAGCGTTTGCCCAGCTCGATCAGCATCATCTACGATGAGCAACTAAATTGAGAAGGTTCCAGAAGACATTAAGCATTTCATATATATGAAAAGAGAAGCACCAATAAAATTACTTTGAAAGAAACAAATAGGATTGAGACGTAAATTGAACCTTCATAAGTCAAGCGCCTTCCCCAAAGTTCTATAACTGAGACCCAAGGCGAACCTTTAAGGTAATAATTCAACTAAAACGTAAAGCGAGCCTTCAGCTCTCACTATCAACATTCTCTTTGGTTTTTAGGCTTTGCTTAACTTCTCATGCGAAAACCGCATGCGAATGCAACCTAAGGCCAGCCTCCACCTTGCTCTTTCCAGATTCTTTGCCCCTGACCCTAGTCCGAGCCTTAGCCCCGTTCAATTCTAAAGTTTCCCAAAAGCCGCTTTTCATGTAACTGTTCTCCAAAAACTTGTATAGATTTGAATGCAGCTTAAGCTGCTGCTGTCGGTGCCCTTGCATTGCAGGTCTGGCCAAGCGCTTGGCTTAGCTGAGATACTGGAAATTCGTGCTAGGCCTGCTTAATGCGCAAAACCAGTTAGGTGTCTGCCTGGGATCTGCGCCTGCCAGCCTCTTAACAGACATATTCAAAGTCATTACTTTGCATTTTACACCTGACAACAAGGTAGCGCAAAGGCTGAGCCGCCAACAAAGGGCCTAGCTAACCATGTCTTTTGGCATGGATCCAGAAATATTTACATAAATTTATATATCTGTCTATGTATATACATATATATGTACATATTTGTGTAGGTGCGCTGGTCGAAACTGGCGCAAATGAAATGCTGTGCCAACAACATGACTGTGGCAATTGTTATCTCAGCTGGCGGCTGGAGTTCGTGACAGCGTGGACAGCCACCGAATTGAGCCACTGCAGCCAGCTCACCCGGTGACGGTCATTAGCCAGTTGCAACTGCGACTGCAACTGCAACGGCAACTGGCTCTGCCGCTGCCGCTGCTGTCATTCAAATGTCATTAGTCCATGGACTGGGTCAAGTCCCAGGCCCAGCCCCGCCATGGCCTGCTGGTGAGGTGGCAGGAGGCAGCAGGAGGTGGCAGGAGGCAGCAAGAGGCGGCAGGAGGCAGCAGTCTCGTAATTTCATTTCGCCAAACGAGCGCAAATTGACGCGCGTCGCATGTGAGCAGCGACTTGCCTCGCCTCGCCTCGCTTCGCCGCGCCTTGCCTCGCCTTGGCTTGGCTTGCATTGCCATCTGGATTTGATTAAATGCTCTCAGTTGGCGCCTCTTAGGCTCGCTGCATTCTTTTGCTTTAATTGCAACGAAATTAAAACGCTCTGCATACTTCGCTGCATCAGATTTATGATTGCAATTTGTTATTTATCACACAGCTGCCCCGCGCTGCGATGCCAATTTCAATTTTCAATTGCAGAGAGATTTATGCTTTTCGCTTGCTGCACTAAATTTCGCTTTTCATTTTCATTTTCCGCTCCCCGTTTTTTCCGCCATTTTCATTGTCGAGTATCAAATTTCTAACCGCCGGCTGCAATTTTCCACTGTTCATTTTGATTTTGGGCAGGATTTCAGGCCCCGCAAAAACTAGTCTAACAAATTTATTGTGTAAACTGTTGTCGACATCGCCATTCGACGCATTGCTAATGGGTTTTTGAATATGTTTATACAAGTGCGGCCGTCGCGTGGATCTCGGCCAAAGAGCTCTATAAATATTTATTGATATTTTATCTCGTTTTGCTGCTGCCTTTTGCCATGCCGCAAAAAATGGCAAACGCAATTAAATTCAATTAAATTGATTTGAATAGCGTTTTTTATTGCCAAATATCGCATGCGATTTAATCACATTGATGCTTGCTCTTTTCTCTCCCTCTCTCGCTCGCTCTCTCACTCTTTCTCTCTGTTTTTGTAGCCTATTCATTTGGGAGAATATTACTAACAAATTGTTAATTGAATTCATTTGGCTGGCATTATCTGCTATATGAATTATTTTTGCGGCCATTTGGCAGCTAAAGAGCTGACAGCATAAGTAATACAAATGTTAATTGAGTTTTTTTTTCGCATGGCCTTTTGTGCACTTTGATTTTTGTGATTGGCTAATTTAGTGGCAAAAAAAAAA